ATAATCATATTTAGATTATGTAGAAAAATGTTCTTGCTTCTAGAAGATAGACAACTTATTTTCATAGGGTTCAACAAAAAACTGTTGGCATGTGTAGGGTGTGTGTGTGTATCTGTGTGTGTGTGTGTGTGTGTGTGTGTGTGCGCGCGTGCATGCATATGTGTATGCAGAAAAAAAAACAAAAGAGTATAGTGGAAGAATATATATGGCAAACTAGCCAATCTGGTGGATAATGCTCATGATATTCATTGTAGTATTTTATTTTTTATATAAAAAATTTATAAGCAGGTGATTTAAAAAGTGAACAAAGTAGGGAATCCATGACCACCAAAGCAGCTAGGGACAACAAAACAAAGAACATGAAAAGGGACCCCCCCCCAAAAAAAAATATATAACTAGTATACAATTAACTATTAAATTAATTCTCAGTTCCAATTGCTCATTACACACATGAAGGGACATGGGGCCAAACTATTTATTATTTATAGAACACAGGTTAAATTGAAAGTGTACAGAACTATTAGGTGTTCTCAGCACACAAAAAAGACAGAGAAAGAAGAGGACCAACACTAGAATTGCCTCTAAGCTCCAGGCACTAATACTTACAAGAGCCTATGAAATGAAGGTGATAACATCTTTAATCTTTATTTCACTAATAAGAACCAGACATTGTCATTTCCAAAACTTCATAATCTAATTGAAAAGATTCATACCTCATAGGTTATAGTAAATTATAATGAGCAATTCACAGTTCAGATGCTACCAGAAGTAGGAGGCAAGTAATTATTTTTTGAGTACTTATTGTGGGCACAGAAGAAAAAAAATCAGTCACTCTCTAAATAGAAAGATCAAGGTAACTCTGATGTAACAATTAATGACTCAAAATACAAGAGGTTCTGCTAGGTGGGAATGGAAGATAGGGCACTTTAGTATATAAGCAAAGGCTCTGGAGACAAGAAAATTTAAGAACTGTTTTGAGAGTACAGATCAAGCAACTGTCTGCAAAAAAACATGTAAAGTAGAAATTGAGAGATAAATTGGGCACCATGGTACATGCCTGTAATCCCAGGTATTTGAAAGGATGATGCAAGAGAATGGCAAGTTCAAACTCAATCTGGGCAGCTCAGCGAGACTGTCTCAAAAAGGCTGGGGATATGTGCAGTGATGAAGTGTTTGCCTAGCATGCAAAAGGCCCTGGGTTCGATCCCTAGTAAAGGGAGAGATGGGTGGAGGAGAACTATGAAAGTAGTTTAGAAATGGGCCTAAGAAAATTTGATAAGCATTAGCTGCTTTTTGAAAGTAGTTTGATAGAAATACTCTTTTAAATAGAGATATCCTAGCTATTATAAGCAGGAAAAAGATAAGGGGTAATCTAGTCTAGATAAAACACACGCAATTAACAGTTTACTATAAGCCATTCTGTGCTCTAAATTGAGGAAGGACTCTGTCTCACCTTCTATTCAATCTAGAAAAATTTCTACAGCCACCTTTTTGAATCAGTTGGAGTTCACTTTGAATTGTATATAAATCTGAGTATTTTTTATTTTTCAGGCATAAAAAACAGGCCTTATAGTAGAAGATATTTTATACATACAATGTTTTAGTTATATAGTATTATTGGAATACTATGGTAATGAAACATATCACTAGTTATTAAAATTCTCAGAGGATGTGTGGTTTAAAAAAATATCTGATTTCCCAACTGGAGTACCTCACCTAAACCACAAAGTGGTTTGCAATTCTTCCAAGGTTAGTACAAAAGTAGCACTACTTTAGTACAAAAAAACTAAGTGAATGCACAAAGTAGAATGTCTTGGGGCATTAGGGTTTAATTCTTTCCTGGAACCCCAGGAAACTAATCTTTTAAAAGGATATAAAATAAAGTAAGATTAGCTGATGGTTTTAATAAACTCATCAGATTGAGAAATAGCTGAAAACTGTTAGCAGAATGGTTGTCTGGATAGAGAGCACTTTGAGTGAAGATCTATTAGATAGGCCCCGAGGAAATTCATGTGCTACTTGTGATTTCCTCATTTCTCTAATCAAGTTATTTCCTTATTAGATCCATCTGTCTATTCTTAAATATTTGCCCTAAAAATTTATTATTTCAATGATTTTTTTTCCCTCATCACCCTTTAATACTCAGATAACCTTCCCTAGGCACCCATTTTATCATTCCTCTTCCCTGGGTAAAATGATAAAGGATAAGTCATAAACAAATAAATGTTAAGCCCTGTAACAGCTCACCATGGCAGCTTTAAGTTATCTGGGTTCATGTCTTAGCCCCACAAACACTGTATGCCCTTGAAACCATTATCTACAGACTTTAAATCCTAGTTCCAAGTTCCTTCATAAAGATATTTACACTGTTATCAGCTTTTAATGTGATGTTTGTGAACACTGCAGCACAATTCCTGACACCAAGAAATGCTGTCAATTAGTACCCACCAATTCCCTTGCATTCCAGGCTTTCTCAAATTCTGCTCCCCCTTATTTCTTTTCTTCTTTGGCTTGATCTTCAGCCTCAACCAAACACACCTCTCCACTGTTTTTGTACATTTATTGCTCATCTTCCACCCTAAGCTTTAATCTTGTTATTTCTTTTTCTTGGAATGCCGTCTTCTTCCTACTCACTAAACTCTCCATCCTTCACAAGATCCAGACCCACTTCCTTTATTGGACATTCCTCAGTCCCACCATTCCATGCTGATTCTTCTTCGAAAAAGTCCAAGCCTACTGTCTATATTTTCAACATTTTATCATAAACTTTTAAAAGACAGAGTAGTGTTGCTCTCATCAATGCTACTCATTTTATAATATAACGTAAACTGAAGTACTTCTTTGTCTCAAAGATTAAATTAACTAAGAAACAGATTATGAGTTTCTAAAGCCAACATATTTGCTGTACATGCACATATTGTTCTTTGTTGACAAACTTTTTTGTGGACAGACACCTTAGTACAATGCTTAGTAAGTGGTCTTCAGGCAAGATAGTTGGTAAACATAAGGCTGACTAATCAAACAGCATAATTTACATGACTTTTTTGAGGGAACTAAATTATCGTAAGACTCATTAATCTTCACATGAGTTTTATGTAATAAGAAAGCAAGTATTATAATTTCCAGTTGTATTAGATCAGTACCCTCAGGTTTTATCTGCACCTATAAAATGAAGTTGTAAACAAAGAATCCATACAGAATATTCAATATTTTTTTTTAATTCTAGAAATACTTTCAATAATTATGGGCAGCAATGTTTTCATGAGTGGTGAATATAAATATGTATATGGAAACAAAGGTATTTTCATCTACAAAAGATAATCACAAAAAAAGAAATGAAGATACACATTTTTATTTAAGAATCTAAGATTACAACCTCCCCTCATCCTTGTTACATAAACCTAGCAGGGATTAGCTTATTTAACATTTTTTTATATCAGCAACCTCAGAAAAGTTATACTACGAACATGGACAATTCAAAATTCACAGTATTTAAAGAGCATTACATATGGCAGTATTTATGGGTCTCAGCATATTCCAGATATTGTGAGAAAAGATAATTGAATACTTACTTCTATACTTTTGTTTTTGGTACTGGGAATCAAAGTGAGGATCTCATGCTTGCCAGGCAGATGAGACACCACTGAGCTAAATCCCTGACCCATTTTTATACTTTCTTAAACCAGTACTGTTTAACTTTTTCCTCTGAAACTGTACTGACCCTGACAAAATACCACAATAAAAGCTGAAAACCTAAAGCTATATCACATTCTAAATTCTCATACTTCATTCAACCTCTAAAGGCTGGGGATTTAGCTCAGAGGTTCTGCTGCCTGCCTTGCTAGAGCAAGGTCCTGAGTTCGATCCCCAGTACCAAAAAAAAAGTATTTTCCTAGATTATGATACAGGAGCAATTCACTAATACTGCCCAGACCATGTAATAAGAGAATTATTTGACATTTTTGAGTACTAGGTATATAAAAGCCATTACATGAGAAATGTGTATATAGATGTGCATATATACATACACATACAAAATCTGTTTTAAAAATGTAAATATTACCATGCCTACGATGATGAAGGAACTGAGATACAAAGAAATTAAAATAGCTATTCTGCTGCAATACAATTAACGAGTATGGTTGCTTTGTACTCAGGTCTCTAGCATATCATTAATATATTTTATTTTTATAGACATATTCTCTAACCTATTTTTACTTTCTTTTCAAGAATTTAATGAAAGTATATTGTGATCAGTTAGACAACCACGAAGGTCTACAAAATACTTCTCAATTGTGGCAGAGTAAGGCTAATCAATTGGCATAAGACAGTTTATGCATGCCACTAAATTGAGTCAATTCTTAAGTCTAAAAGGCTTGACACTTTAAACAGAATAGGATATAGTTTCATATACAAATCGTAGATCTAATTCAAAAAGTTACCATGGAGTAACAGAGAGAACAAAGGAACAGGAGTTTCTTAGAAAATCTTAACTAACATTAGCTTCTGTCACTACTTGTCTATCTGAAACTTATGTTCATCACATGAAAGGATAGCTACCAGATTCTTGTTTTTTTCCACTCATAAGGTTTTATATCTTTATAAATTTGCTGCCCACTCATTTTAATTTCTTTAGGTTTTTATTACCTTAAGATATGATATTATATTTTTATTAGTATATCTCTAAGAAATAAATTTTTAATCTACATTTCTATGTATTCAACTACCAGGTGTCATCTGTTCTCCTTAAAATATTCCCTTGGTCCTTGCTTCTTAACCACTTTCATTTCATAGTAAATTAAGGAGAACAACAAAGTTGCCCAGCAAAAGTTGCTGCTTTACAGTAAGTTTACTCAACTCTATTGACAAAATGTTTATGATGTCAGCTGCTACTTCAGTGCATTTATTTTCACAAAGGTTTGATGATTTGATATTTATACTTAAGTTTAAATTCAAATATTTAGGTACATCAAAAGTCAAAGGTAAATTATGCTACTAACCATTGTCCAGTTTGATTTGCAATCTGCTCTTCTGATTTCTGTAACTTGGATGTGTAAGCCGTTATTCGAGTATTGCACACCATGAGATTCTTAACTGCATGTAAAATTTGGTCCTTTTGAGTGCTCAGGGAAAGGAGTTTCCATATCCCTTCTCGAATTCGAATTTCTAAGTCTATTTTCTCTTGTATGCTACAGTCCTAAAATAAAGAGAAAAGTATTTTTAAAAGGTAGCAAAAATACAAATTATATTTTTACCTTTAACATATGAAAAATGTATTGCTATCATTCATTTTATATCTTACTTTGAAAAAAATACAACACACAACATACTAAAATAGAGCTATTTTTAAAAGCTCTTTGCAGCCAGGCATAGTGGAACTTGCCAGTTATCCCAGCAGTTGGGAGGCTGAGGCAGGAGGAATGCTGTGTGTTTGAGGCCAGCCTGGGATCTATAATGAGTTCAAGGCCAGCCTGAACTACACAGCAAGACCCTGTCTCAATCAATCTCTTTGCAAAAGTTAAATTTCTGCCATTATTAGAGGTCTTTATAATCTACTAGATAAACAGAACAGAAGCAAAGATGAGAAACATTACATGTTCTTATTTTAACTATACTAGGCTTAAAAGTGTCCCCCAAAATTCATGTCTACCCAGAGCTTCAGAATGTATCCTCTACTGGATATAGAGCTCTGCACATGATATTAAGATCACCTAGGATTAATGGCAAGAAACAGAAGCTGGAAAAGGCAAGGAAGGACACTTCCTAAGGGCTTCCAGAGGAAACATGGCTCTGCCATTACGTTGATTTCAGACCTCTCATCTCCCGAACTATAGAGAGAAAAAAATTTCCCTTTTCTAAGCCATACAGTGTTGGTCATTTGCTATGACAGCCTTAGGAAATGTACAGTATAACTACTGTGAACAACATATTACACATATATATAATATAAACTATATTATGGGATGGTAACATATAGTTGAAGAACTTTCTCAAAGAGCAGATTTTGAAGAAAGGAAACAAGGCTTAGCTCCAAGGAGATAACAGGCCATTTATCATGATAGGCAGTGAAAAAAAAAAAAAACTCAGAAACAACAGAGTGAAACCACTGTGCTTAGAAAATGTCAGAGGCCTTGGCTATCTGGAACATAGAATACAGTTCTGGACGTACCTATTTTAGTTTTAAGAGTCACCAGGAAATTACCAAGTGTTTTAATCCTAAAAGTCTTTTATTCTATTTAATTATCTTGCAATGGCCTGATTCTGTTTCATTTTTAGCATTAAAATTTTACAAACAATGTACAGTTCTGACTTTATTCAGTCACTCTGTAAAATTCATAAATCATAGAAATACTCTTTTTTACTACAATTATTGTCTATTTCTAAACTTTAAGTGACCGTCCTGGCTTCTGTAGATAAAAATGAAAACACTACTTCTAATGTATCAAAATCTAAATTATAAAATGTGAATGAAACGTAGTAACAAAAGTTCCAGATATTAAAGTCAGTTAAAAAAAAAAAGATGATTTAACTTAGCTATCCAAATCAATCAACTGTACTATTCACATGCAGAAAACAGATCTGTTTAATCTCCTTCTATAATTACATCACATAATCACATTAAAAACCCCTCTTGTAGTGATGCAAATCAAAACTAGTGTACATACTATAAATGTAGTCATTTGCTGGTTTCCTCTATACATGACTGAATTTCAACTCCATTTCAACTTTTTATAACTTGTCAGCCCTGAAATAAATTCTTCTTTAATGAAATTATCAATTAATTAGAAGAATTATTTATGTATCCCATATGTCTAAAGAAATAAACTCTGACAGACTGGTTAGTGTTGGAGAGCGCAAGCAGGGAGCAACTTGAAGCTAGATGCATAGTTTCACCCCAACTCAAATATAAATAAATACCATCTGGTGCCATTAAATTCAACTTAGCTTTTTAAATGCAAAAATGAGGCAACAAGTTGAAGTAGTACAGTGCTCTTCAATGAAGGCTTAGAAACATTTTAGAAGCACCTGAGGCAGAGGAAGGGCCTTCCAAAAGTACTTAGATCTGTTACTCCCAACTAATTAGCATCTCTGAAGGTGGGATATAAGTTTTTTGCAATTTTTTGTCTTCTTATGTTTTTTCAATTTCTCTAGTGATTCAGTGTACAGGATAAAGAACTACTTTGCTAGATTACTGGAAATCCTACAGCAATCTCCAAAGTTGCAACATCCTTAAGGAACCAGCAGGTGGCCGCAGCCACATTAAGGAATCAGTCTGGGCTTAGGGTTTGCATCCACTGAATGAAGACTGTCCTCTCCCCAACTTTTCAAAAGACTCCATAAAATCAGAGGTTGGGGAAATAGTGGAGAAGGGGAATATAAAGTCAGAGTTTTAAAACATTTATGTTAAAATGAAGTTAATATTCATTTAGAAAATGAGATACAGTCAGCAGACATTAGTATTAGAATTTTATCCTTTAGAACAGGTATCAGAAAACTATGATCTAATTGTACCTATTTTTTTATAAAGTTTCATTAGAGCATATCCACTCTTATTGTGCGACTACTTTTTTTTTCTTTTTATTGAGTTTATTGGTACATTCTAGGTATACAGTACAGTTACATTCACTAATGGGCTCTTGTACCTTTACATGACAGGTCTTGGTTCTCATTTTTTCCTCTTGTCCCTGCCTTCCATTCACCCCCTCTTCCCCTCCCCATTTACAAACACTTCATTTCCATCTTTTCATTTTCTAATTTTTTTTCTTTTCCCTTATTCCCTTTCCCCTACCCTTCCCACTTTCCCTACACCTTTAGCCCTTTTCTTCCTATTTCACGTTGTTAAATATCCCATTAGGATCTTGTGTACTATTGCAGTTTTTCACATCAGAGAAACTATTTGGTATTTACACATGTGTGACTTATTTATTTCACTTAGGAGTATATCCTCAAAATGGATCCATTTTCCTATGAATGACTCTAATTTCTCATTCTTTATGGCTGAGTAGTATTCCATTTTATTGTGTGACTACTTTAAAGCTACAATGACAGAGTAATTTCAAGAGAAGCAGCAGCCAGGGATGTTGGTCAATGGCACTGTGCAGATCCCAGGTATGAGGGGGTACAGACAACAGGGCACGTAAAGCTAAAAAGTTATTTTCTGGCCCTTTACCCAACCTAATTAACACATGTAGTAAACTATAACCCTGTCTTCCTTGCTGAGGCAGGTCTCAAGATAGTGTGAGTTAAGTGGATCTGAGAGGGAAGACAGAAGCAGGACAAACTGGTAAGTGTATGCACAGCTTTTCAATGTAGTTTGAGTTACTAATAATTAAAAAGGCTATTGTTTTGGCTGGTTTTGTTTTCCATGCAACTTCTTTTAGTATACATTTATCTACTCTTTACATGCAGGAGAAAACCTAACTAGCAGTACTGACTAGCGCTAACCAAGAAAGGAGTTGAGGAAGCCCAGCCAAAGGACTTGTCATTAGATAATAAGGGAAAAAGTCCTGCTAGGAAGGAACTAAAATCTAGTGCCACTCCCAAAGAGAATAATGATTATGTAATGAGGACACACACTGAGCACTTTATGGTGATATTCACTGACATCAAAAATGGAAGAATACTTACTTGGCAGGGGAGATACATTTTTCTGAAATTGAGGTATTATATTTCAATTTTATTTTAATTTTAAGATTTTTTTCAAGAGCTTAAACATTTACGACTCTCAAATTCCAACAACTTTCTGAATGTTACATTCAGAAATTATAATTATAAATGGCATTACAGCCATTCTATAACTGTGAAAATTAAACTTAGAACAGGCAGGTAACTTATTCAAAACTGCACAAGCAAAGTTGGGTTTGACTTTAATATGACTCCAAAATCAACTTTCTTTGCTGTGAGGAGTAAGAGATGACGTAAAGGGTTGGACAGAAGTGTTTGGTGCTGGTATCTTCACCTGATCTTAGACAAAAGGTCAAGAAGAGATGTTGTACTGATATCTTCAAAAGCACTGCTCATCCTAATTAGATGGCTGTTTCATTCATAGTAAAAAAAAAAAAAATTAAAAATTCAGTGTTAAATATAACATTCTTTTACTGACTCCATATACTTGTTAGGTTAAAACTTATTACTATTTTAAGATTTTCCTCAAAGACCCAAACAGAAGTAATTTCCACCTATTATTTTGTTTTTACAATGCTGAAAAATAGCTAAGGATAGCACTTTCTCATATATCACAGCCTTATGTATTGATATTTAAACATTTATTTTCATTTCATGCAGCCAAACTTCTTTCAAGACCTTATCATCTCTATTTTTTTCTTCCATACCATTCCTAAATGTTAGTGCAGCGCACAGCTAATAAGCATTCAATACCTACAAGACATGCATAAACTTCCTCAGATTGCCAACTTACAACAAATCAAGATCGTGTAACAAAACAATAAAGACAGCCAAAGTACATAAAGAGAAGTACTCTGCAACAAAATCTTTGAAAACGCTGTCAAAACAGCACAAATTACTAATAAAGATACTGGATTTTTTTTTTTTTTTTGCACATAAGTCTCAATGACTGGCTTTATTTCTTACAGTATTTTTTGAAAACTTCCCAAGAGTGTTGTATGTGCTAAACAAAGTACAGGCTTCTAAGCAAAGGTATTAGGTCGCACCATATGAAACTGCAAATAATCTAACGATTTTGACTTACAAAATGGTTTAAACTACTGTTTATGGTTTAAACTATTGTACTTTAGAAGTAGGTAAAAGACAGTGGAGATTAAAATGGAAGACTAGATCCTGTTAAAAGCTTTAAAATCCTAAAATTATGGTTAAGAATGGGAAGTCTAATACAACATTTTAATTGCAGATGTTGTCAGTAATGTTGTCAGTAATGTCAGTAATCCTACGTTAAATAGGTCAACATAACACATACACAGCTAAAAAGCAAACACACAAAAAAAACTTTCATCCCATTCAAAGCGTCATCCCCCTACCTTTCTAGTTACTGTATTTGCAGAAGAGCTATCAAACTTTCACCTTTTTCTAAAGCTGAGTTGCAATCCGCTTTCCTACTCCACAATTGATGCTGTATCTAGATATCGCTCCAAGAATTCTGTTTTACATTATTAAATCTAGTACTAAGCCACTGGTCCCCGTTGGCCAGGTGGCTTTCTCGGAAATCCCGGGGAACCATTTCCCCTGCATCATTCACAGTTGCCCAAACCGCGCTCGTCTAAACCTAGGGAAGGAGGCCCGGTTGGGCCAGAAACGCGCGGCGGAGCCCCGCACCGTTTCCCCACTCCAGGACTCAGTTTCTTCCTTGAGGAATCCGGGAATGCAGATGCCCAAGCCCTTTGGAGGCCCAAGAGTGCGTCTCCTAACCCGTCCCTTTGTTTCTGGCCGCGCCTTCGAGTGCCGAGTGAGACTTCCCCGACCACCTGACAGAGCAGCCCCTCACCTGCTGGGCCGAAAGCCCGGCCTGGCCGAGCTCGCGCCCCCACTGCGTCTGCCCCTCCATCTCCAACGCCAACGGTCGCGGCAGTCGCCACTCTCCTCAAAGAAATTTGAAAAGCCCGCCCCCAGCTGCTTCTGAGGAAGCCAACCGCCAGCCAGTACCAAATGCCGATCACAGGCGGACCAGGCCCAGGGACCACCGCGCGCGCACGCGCAGGGGGCCACGCCGGAAGTGGGCCGAGAGGCGTTCGCTGTGCGACCCTCGGGAAGTGCAGAGGACCTGGGCATTTAAGGTGCAGACGGGGAAGGGGGCG